TTATATACATTTATATACATTGCCTTGCAATCTACTGTGGCCTTTTGTCTCTGAATTTTATGGTCATGTGATAATAGGTTCACACAAAAAGTGCTTGTTTCGAGCTTCAGTCTGTCCTGTGACATCGCTAATGCTGCGGATGTTAGGAAAGTACAGGTACTCACGCATACATAGTTTTTTATTTATTTTCAATTGCGCATGAGATACCAAGACTGGATGTCCACATCACAGGATTTGCGGGTCGTTCTAGTTCACAACAGTTAAAGTAATTTGTATTTATGATCTTTGTAAATTAAATAATAACCTGTCTACATTTTTTTTCACGTTCTGTCTAGGGGCCAGAAGCGTTAGAATTAGACGCAGCGAATTTTCGACGTGGCTTGCATCAGTATAAGAATGTTCTGGTCAATTTTTACGCACCCTGGTGTATACACTGCAAGAATTTCGAAGCTACGTACAGTGAGGTATACATTTTCTACGTGTTGGTACTGCGAATTCGAGTCACGGCAGTCTCTTTTGTTCGTTCGAAGTCATGTCTAATATTTGTTTCTCGTATCTCTATCCTAGATATTCCCTATCCAAGCGAGCTCAAGGCCGTATGTATCCATCCATACCTCTGTATTTCCCGCCTCCCAGATAGCCAAGTCAATCCATACCAACGAAACGTTCAACAACGACACGCTGGTCAGCAAGATGGACGCGACGATACACCCTCGGCTGGTCGCCAGACACAACATACACGCGTTCCCTAGCTTACTGCTCTATATCAATGGCGACATAGACAACCCCTCTCACTACCAGGGTCCACGGGAAGCGGTGGATGTTATTGATTGGACTCTAGAGACGGCGGCAAATCCGCCCTTGTCGTCGTTCTATGGGTTTGCACAGAACCCAAGGTGATGTGCAAACGATCGCTGCCTGAGCAATCGTATGAGACAATTTCGCTGTGTCTCGTTTTGCGACAGCATCATTGCGGCGCTGACTCTCTGATTGGCTCGCGTATATTCACTGACCTGTTATTCTCTCGCACCATGACAGGTATCTGAGGTTCAGATATGACATCTCGTACAGGATAGGGGATGTGGTCCATCTGACCACTGATGAACGGGAGATGCCCCATCTGGGTGTGATTGTGGGATGGGACTACACAATGCAAGCTCCGGCTGTCTCGTCGGAGAACAAGCTGAAGCCACATTACCGGGTGTTATGGGACACCTCAAAGGGGCAGGCAATACCTGAAGATACTAGTATGTGCAAATCGAAAGCTCTGCCACCGTAACTTGTAGAGCCTGCTGTACTAACACTTCTTTTCGTCAGCGGTGATTCATATGGTAATAAGGTGTAGTAGTCTATATGGTTGCTTTGTGGTGACATAATGTGTTTTTGGGTCTACTGCGATTTACAATGCCATATTATTGTCTCACCAAATTTGTACGGTATATCCTCTCCCTGTCCCATTCCATGGGTCCAGATTCTAATTTGGGTGAGCATAGTAGCCCTAACGTGAATTATCTCTGTCAAGATGACCTCGATCTGTACATTGGCCGCGTGACGACCATCGAACATCCTCTGCTGGAAAAACACTTCTATTCCAAGTTTAAAATGAATCGGCTTTTGCCGAAGAGTTGGCTGCACTCTCAGTATCCCGATGACGTCAAATTCTGAGGTGTGCTGGTGTGCCGGTGATTGCGTCAAATGCAAATGCGTATACATGACATACATGTAGTGGACAAATCAGTATTGCATTTCGGGCCGCTCGCAGTGAAGCCGAAAGGCGCTAAGGTACTTGGGTATTGATCGAGCGGGAAGCCATCGCCACTTTAAAAGAAAGTACCTATCTCGTTAGGATTGACAGTGCAATTTGTGGCCGACAGAATGTCGCTGTTGCACTTGCTGGTGTATTGTGTGCTAGCTGGATGCGAAGATCCTCATATTTCCTGAAAGCATTTTATTCACAAAAAGATCTAATTCCCTTTCTGAAGATTGCAAACAAGCCCAGGAAGCTCAGGCACCATTTGAGCCTACTAAATGGGATCAGAATGATCGCGTTAGATTCGATGTTTCAAATAAATACAAAACAGTTATATCATACGCGCTTTCTCCTTCTCATCTCCCGCTGAATGTGTCTTAGCACGTGCAGTGTCGCTATCAGTCTGTACTGCAGGAGATAGTGTTGTGTTGTTTGTAGCCTCCGTAGCGGGCCCCTTGAGGTCGCGGTACAGATCTGGGTAACTCAAAGGTATTGTTTTCCCTGTCCACTTATCGGGGAGCCTTATGAAATAGTCCTACACAAACCCCAGCGAGAAGATACCGAAAATGAGCATATTATCTGTTTCGATTGAAGTCGCTCCGATGCGTGGCGCTATAGTGAAAGGTTCGTCGGCAAAGGACCACTCAGCTTAACAACAACTCACTCTACAAAACTTGACTATGAGTTTCAAGCATCGGAACTCAGAGCTTGCAAAATCGAGAGCATACGACCGCGATATATATATATACCGGTATACGTCATTGAACAGGCAACGCTGTATGTAGGTAAATCTTAACACAGCGACACAAGAAGTGGACATTCATACCTCAACAGCAGTACGAAATCTTTTCATGTACAGGTTGGGCGAGATGACGGTTGGCATCTTACCACTCCCTCCAAGAATTCCACTAGACTTGACCCAGGTCTCCATTTTCTTATCTAGAGTGTACGTCCTGATGTAGTCTGTATTAGGAAGAAGAAAAAAGGATATCAGTGCAGCTCACTTTTTCCAACTGAACTCCTACAGATTCGATGTTCCCATTCGAGTGGTACAGTATCACTACTCTACATACCGATAATTCCCACCACCAGTTCTTTACTCTCGTAGTTGATCCCTATCTGTGGTAAGTGAAAGATAAGAGGATGAGTTCAGACGTCAGCCATCAAAGCTGAAAAAGTAGATATCATAGCATTGAAGAGGGCCGGGCAGATGATAACAACGTAAGAACTTTTGCTTACTCGAAGTAAGATCATAGTATTGGACAAAGCCGATCAAAAAATAATGCCTTAAGCAACACACTAGAAATGAAAAATTAAAGCATTGGAAATGGCCAAGCGAAAGGTGACAGTGCTGAGAAACCACATACTAGAAGCGAGTAATCCATGACGTTGTTGTTGCACAGAAAGAGCGCATCGCTCGCAACAGCCGTCTCCAGAACAAGTTTTGTGTGGCCGCGCAAGTATATCGGTGTGTCTGTGATGACTGGTGTTTGAATTGAATCAGGAGGTAAGTTTATCAATGCTACAACCAGAAGAAAAAAACAAATGTGTTGTGTAAATTGCAATATGTAGTGGGAGAAGTACACCCATGACGGAGAGCTGAAGAAATTACAAAGGTGTGTTTTAAAATCGGGTGGCCAGACTCGAGACTAGATAGCAGAAATGAAACCTGACTCGACTGTGTTGGATGATGGGCGTGTGGATTTGAGAACGAGGTTTGGATGCCTCTCACTTACATTCTACGAAATTCTCGTCGAGAAGTACTGCGTTTTTGTCGGAGGTCTCGGCGTATCGTGACCTTTGTGAACCCTGTGCAAATGAATTTGTTGTTAGTTTTTCAACAACGGTAACAGCATCACTTTAGCGAACAAAGCGGCCCTACTTCCGGTTCTTTGAGCATGCAACGCTTTTTGGAAATGAAATATGGATAGATATGTTCGCCCATGTGAACGTTCAAAAACATAGCATGAATACAGGGTATAGGGTTCCAAGCATTGCTTAAATATAAGGCACTGGCATATCCGTGCAGGAATACGATAGCGAGACACTAATTTCGCAGACACACCTTGAGATCGAAAGCCACATCGATTTTGCGTCCGTAGAATACATTTTCCATCACTATGAATGCCACCTTGCTTGTTTTACTTGTTTTCCGATCCACCATCGATATCTGGTAAATGCCGAGCACTTTAGCCAGCACAGTGGGACGCTATGCGAGAGGACAGTGTAGTATGGTTGTTAGGTTTGGGTACAGTTGATCCAAGAGCCCAATCAGTGGTACAAAACCACAGCCGGAATTATCGGTCACTCTTAATCAAGTGATCACAGGTTCTTCAATCAATGAGCTACATAGTAGACTTACATTTGCTCTGATGCTCTCGAACATGTACTTCAAGTAGGCTTCGGAGAGATCTATGACCGACGCCACCTCCACGCGAGACATTTGTTTCAAGACGTATCTTCCATCTGCGAAAGACAATTTCTGTTGAGCATGGCGGTACCTCAACAAGATAAGTGCAGTTTGGTAGTTTAAAGGATCAAACCACACCCCCGCCCAAAACAAAACAAAAAGCCCTGACGCCCCATAATAATCCATACCCAATGTGCGTAGGAAAGTCGACCCACTTTTGCCCCCCGTGGCCTCCCATACAGCGCAGCGAGACAACGAGCGGATGAACTTGTCCTCTCCTTCGGTGCACAGCTCTCGCAGACGATGGAATCGGCGCGCCCAGACTATTCTAATGCCAAATACAGTCGTGTCGTCCACAACCTGAAGCTGTATGTGCGGAGATTCTGAACCTGTGCAACAATACGATAGTACATAGCAGTTATACGTAAGTAACTCGATGTACTGACAGAACGCGATTAAACTAAAATGAAGTAAAGAAGCCTTCCAAAGCCAACTCACAGCTCAAATCGCACTATTCAAAGTCCTAGATAGATACCTTTGCGGTCTTGTCCGTCGGCTGAGAATGAAGGAGAGTCTTCTATAGGTTCCTCCGCACCCAGCATATTAGCAACGCTCCCCACGCCGTTGCTGGTATCCGCTGGCACTCGCAGCATTCCCGAATTCGGAGAGTACTGGCCCCGGTTGTTGATCATATTCATAACTGAAGGCGCATCGACGCCTCCAATGGAGGTATAGGGAATGCGAACGGGCGCCTGTGAGGCGATACTATGTTTAGGCTGTTTGCCCTGGGACTTCTTCTGCTGCGACGCCGTCTTGAAGTACGCTGTGGTGGGCGCTGGTGATGGTGACACACTGGTGTATCGCAATTGAGTGGTACGCTCGGGTGTGTTAGTAGAGAGATCCAGTTTGCTAAGTACTCCTTGTCGATCCGCTCTCCCAGTCACCTTCTCATCCAAAACTTCTGAATTCGGCTTCATAAGATCGTTGCTAGTGTCTCGAAGCGCGGAGCCGCCTGCCTTAACGCCGTTTACCTTGGCAATATTGTGCACATTTTTTAACCTGGACGCTTTCCTGGCGTCTGGTGGCCCACCGCCTGTCTTCTGTTTGGTCATGACTGGCTTCATTGGGTTTGGCTCGGCCGCATTCGCATTCTCGCCACCTGCTGCGGATGGACTTCTATTCTCAAATACACTAGGGTTGCCCGCAGTGTTGTAGCCACTAGCGCTCGACTCCGTTCTCGGGCGTACGGTCATTGTCTCGTTCAGTTTCTTCCGATACGGCATAGAGGCCAAGAAATAGGCTATAAGTGTGCTTGGTTCGTCGTCTATCAGCATTATGTAAGGGAGCTCGGTGGCAGGAAGTTGATAGTGAGCTTTGGACAAGGATGGTACGGACAGTTGTTGTTTTGGAGGCGGCTGGGTCTTGCGCGTGATTGATCGGCAGAGGGTTTCCATATCGTCCTTGATCTTTTTTGCTGCGACCGAGTCTAGAAGGCTAAAGTCGTAGAAATCTTGCGATTGCGACGGTATTGGCGTGAGGGGTGGTCGCGGCGGTTCGGCGGATGGGGTCGAGGACCGAGGTGAGACTGATCTTTTGGGGACAATCTGACTTCCCAAATCTGATATGCTTGGGGTGATATCCGTATTCATCGCAAAGATTGGCGGTGGTTGACTTGCAAGAGCGCGCAATGCTGAGCTGTCGGACTGATCACCTATTTCGATATATATGTCTGAGGCCTCCCCCGTCCCTGATGGCATCAATGTAGTAATAATGGTACATTTTCACACTTAACAAACAGCCGCATATACAACATAATTTTGCAAAGTTGAGCTGCTAAAATCTGGAGCTCGTCAACTGTTCTTCACTGTGGCTTTCACTGTCCTATACGCAACTGACTATATATCAGGTGTTGTCGTATTCTTTAAAAGCCGCTAGCTTCTATGCTACATTGCACTCGCCCCGGTGGTGCCTACACAAAGCAACAATAGGCCACCACTCAGCAATGAGAGCGTCGTTCAAAAATTGTTACTTGTCATGTATGCGAAGGATCCGACACCGTTTTAGTACCATAACATACCTGGGGCTGCTGGCGCTTCATCTGTCTCAAACCGCGCAGGAGTGCTAGTCACAGCCCTAGGATTAATTGAGGATGTCACAAAGTTGTCCATCGGGACGATACCATGAGTCATCGCAGCTATCGGATCGGAAGTTCCCGCTCTGATTCTCGACATCAGCGAGCCGAAATTGCGAGAACTCACCGGGGCCCGCTGTTCTTGCGGCGGTGTTTGAGTCCCAATTTCCTGTGCCAACAATAGAGCTGATCGCCTTAGCAAGTTGACAAAAACTCATAAATCAGACAATAAGCCATATTCGAGAAAGATTTGTCGTTACCAAAACAAGGACCTACTATCACTACAATACCTGTGTGACTTCCTCCAGACTCTGTCCGAATTTCCGTCGAGGCAGCAGCGCTACGGCCTCAGCAGATATCAAGCTGTCATCTAGTTCCGTGACTTTACTCGAGATGCGCCAGAATGGAGACTTGTTGGTGATGGATGTTGGGCTCATAACCGCGTTTGGTGTTAGGTCCATAGTATTTAAATCGAAATTGACAACACTGAATTGGTCATTGCGAGGGCTAAGCAGTAAATCGCTCCAGTCTTCGAAGTAAGCATCGCTCTGTAACCCTTCAATATGAGCAGTTGTCATAAATCGTGACCTACTGTGGATGGCTTCCTCGGGTGTGATCAACCCCGAATTAAGTAGCACGTTCTCTTTGCCCCTGTGAGGTCGGAGTATCACGGATTTAGTCTATGTGGTGTCCGTGGCAACAAAATAAAAATTCAAAGAGATCGATTGGCGATATGTGGACTTTATGGAGGAAAAGAGGCGCAAAGATGGTGCTCACATCCGAAGTACTCACCTGAGGTGTCCCATATCACGTGATGTTCCATTATCTACCTCATTCTTCTTTTCGTCTTCATTCTGAAAAAAACAGGAAAATTGATTGAGAATAGCAACCCAAACTGGAGAATAAAACAATGTTTGACCTCAATTTGTGCAACGGCCGGATACGACTCGGTTGCATATACACAAACCGTACCTGGTACGAAGAAGATCGGGCGCGTTGCACCGCAGCCATAACGCTGCCGACATTTAAAAAACTAGTTGGCTGTCTCGCGTCCTGTTTGATCGAGCTGGTGGGAGACGTGCCCAGTTCCACAGCCGGGTCGAAATTCGGATCGTTCATCTCGAAGGGTAGGTTGATCTGAAACTTACAGTTTCATGTGATACATGTGATATGATAAGTTGCCGGTATTCCATGTATCTACTTTGGTATCATCCTCTGGTCAGACCTCCAAATTTTATTCCTGATCAAAATTGCACAAGGCAATGATAAATTGCTTTCATCCAAGAGAAATAGAACAATCACAACCACCCGACATTTGGTCGCAAAGAAACTTACGAACTCGACGGGCGTGTTCCATCTGGAGTGTCCCTCATTCTTCGGCTGCAATATCATGCAAAACGCCACAGATGAGTCAGAATGTGAATTGCGGTAGGTTGGCCTTACGTTTGTATTGTCTTAGATGTTTAGTACTTCAGCAGAGTTGAAAGGCGAAAAAGTAGGCGAAACACTCAAGAGCACATTACATGTTCGTATCATTAGACTGACGATACCTGTTGACGAAATGAAGAAAAAAAAGTTGCTTGATAACACTTACAGACTTTGTGGGAGTATCTTTTGCTGAGATTGAGGAGGCGTATGCTCGTCGCAACTCGGTGTTCCAGAACATGACCAACTCGTCGATATCGCTCATCAAAGTGACGTGTAATCCCACGAGCTTAGCGTGAATTAAGTGAAGAATCAGTACTCGTAGCCCATGGCCATGCAAAGAAAACGCAGCTTGTGATTGATCAGACAATAGCCTACCTCAGCCCCACACACGGTAAACCACAGTATACTACCCTTCAAAGCGAGAATATACGCCAAAGTAACGCCACCTGAATGCGCAGTCACCCATCACAAATCGAGAACGAACTGGGTGGGTCAGGGAAGGTTGAGAACAGATGCTATACGATGCATGCACCACTAGAACAGATCATACAATAATCGAAGACCTCAGTTGCTCCGTCACATACTTCTTGATCACTAATACGAGCGGACGTTGCGTCCGACACTTCTGTAATTGACTTCAGAATAGTGCTTTCCAGCCCTGCATCCTCCCTCTGTGTGTTAACATGACTCGAAGTGGACGGAAGTGTATCCACTACCGTAGAAGGCAATTTTGTATCCTTGTTTGCGATGTCAATATCTGAAAGTATATCGTCGGAAAGTTTTCTTTGACTTTGGATTTTTGACACCTTTGAAGTTGCATTGGCTCCCGTAGAACTTCCCATCTGTAGAGTCATCTTGTCGTCATTCACTTTACTAGCCGTGGCCTCCGTGTTGGGTAAGTATACATCCTGATTGCTCACCCTGTCCGATTCGCACTCCTCGCAGGGGTTTTTCTCGCACAGGCTATGCCGGCGCAGAACTTTTGTGGGTTGAAAAGGCTGGTGAGTTTGGCTAACACTCGAGGCCTTGCTGCGTAAATTCGAGCTGTCTCTGTTCAGTTGGCTCTTCTTAGCGAAAATCAGTCTGTCAGCGCTTCCCGCGTGCATCAATACATCGGTTGATCTCCGGCCTTGCGTATGTGCGGTCAACATATAACTCTCATCATCATGATCGTCCTCCTTCTCGGAAATTGTGTCTATAGTGCGCGGCGACTCGTCGTCTGTGACCGTGGCGTCAGGATTGAAGATCTCTTCCCCGCGCAAATCAGCCAAAGAAACCTGTTCAGCCACACATAAGTCACGTGCTCATTAGTGTCGGCCTTTCAGAATGAAAAAATATTTTTATATAATAACTTTCGCCTGAAGTCTTGCATACCTTTTTTGATAAACGTCGGGTATTAAAGAGGATAATGGGTACGTCACCAATCATTATTGTGGCCTTCACAACGTCGCTCGGATTTTGAAGGCTCTCTGCTTGATGAAGTAGAGATAGTATAGCGCGATTAGGATCTACAACCGAAGATATATACTACTCCAGACAACAAGTATGCCTTAACTCTCGTACAGTGACACCCCGTTACCAAAGCTACGAAAGTTTCGAAGTGGCCTGTGCCTTGTTTCCTGTATTTGCGGATAGAAGGACTTTACAAATATACCTGAATCGGATACACCCGCCTCTTGGAAATCGACATCATTACTTTCGACATCTGCACTCTGTGAAAGGTATTTAAACACCGTAATGTCAGTATTGTACTGCTTGAAACAGTAGGCATACACCAGGCACTATGAAAGAAGGATTGAAGTAACGCATTACCAATACTCGCAATCGAGACATACACACTCTTTGATAGACCGATTCCTACCTTATAGCTTTCCAGATCACTATGGATGGTAAGCGGATCTGCCGACATAGTTGACTCTGCCGATTCACTTTCTCCGTCTACAATGCAACTCTGTGTAGGAACAGACCGCACGCTGACAGGACTGCCAGGGGCAGTGCGGTCAGTCATCGATGCTCTGGAACTTTGGTGCTCGAGGTAACCACTTAGACTTAGAGCCGGAGAAAACATCCCTGATAGGACGCCATTGCCGGATACACTGCCGCTCTTCGCAATGCGTTTCACTGCCAAGGCACTTGCCGACCCAGCGATCCCCTCAATCTTTGGTATGGTGCTATCATTTTCAATCGAGGATGGAGTGGGCTTGGACGCAGAATCCGAAACCACAGATTTGGCCTCAATGTAGGCAGCTTCTGATTCTAAAGTATCAGCACGCTCCTGTACAGGCGAAGGAGGCGCTGTCGACGTCGCTGGACTTGTAGCGTAGTCTCCAGGAAGTATCTCTAGTGGTGGATTCTCGCCCTTATCATCTGCCACAACCGATGCTTTCTCCCCACTTTCAAGAAAGCGAACGGCGGCACTGGAGATCGGTTTTGCCGATTGGGTGGAGTCGATGGGTTTTTTAGTACCGAGCAACGGAGAGCCCGCGACTGCAGGCATATCGGACGAACTTTCAGTTGAGATTTGGTTGACACTCGCGCCAGCATCGTCGACAACATTCATCGCAGGGGGACCCGTTACCATTGGCTCGCCGAAAATAGCCTCATCGTCAAGCAAGTCGACCGCAGGTGGTAGTGGCACGCCCGCGGCTGCGTCTTCTGCTAGCATCCCAGGGCTATGGTAACCGATTGAGTCTGATCCTTGTCCTAAAGTTAACGACATCATTCGAGGGAACGTAGCATGCCGTATGAGAGGTTGCGCTGTCCTGTCATCTAAGGCGAGGCTGAGACCGGCGGAAGGCGCTTGCGTAGAAGATGACACAAACCCCATTGGATGGAGCGACTCGTCAAGTAGTTCTGCAAATCCGGTCAATGGCTTGAGGTTTGCTTTCGCCTTCGCCAAGATAGAGTTCGCAGACATCTTCCTTTCAGGTGTTGGAGATGGTTTGATAGATGTGAACTTATAGGAAGAAAACTCTCCAAAGTCATCCGTGCCTTCGTCTTGAGTACCGTTGAGAGGGTCACCCGTGTCCTCGTCTTGAGTACCTTGGAGAGGTAAATAGAGAGAAGAAGAGCGGGCTGTCAACCTTCTCGGTAGAGGAGCTGAACCACAGGGCTGCATCTTGTTCTTCGCATTGTTGCTCTCTTCGGCGCGAGCTCTCAGCGACATGGAAGATCTCTCAAATTTTTCAAGGGCGAGTGCAGCACTGGACGCGGCTGATATGGACCGTCGCATTTCTGGTTTGATCGGTTCAAGCCTGAGCAGGCTGCCTGGTAGTCGCGTTTCCGATACCGGGATCTGATACGAGTCGTCCGACAACATCTCTTCGGCACCATCACCTGAAGTCACTTCGCTTGCAGGCAGTGTCTTCTCATCCCCCTCAAACTGTGCGTCATCGTAATTTTGTATATCCACCGACAGAAACGAAGGCGGTTCCATGCGCAGAAGTTCCTCTTCCTCAGACTCTGACGGGGACGCGGGGAGCGGTGGAGGTAACTCGCGTACACAGTCCTCCTGGGTTTCTGCTGGATCACGGGGGATATCCGTCTGCGGAGGGGCGGGTTTATTCAACCGCGCAGATGGGTACCTCCCGTTGGATGTGAATTCACAGTCTGGTAGCGGTGGCGGAAGCTCGCGAGAATAGCTCCGGTCTCTCGCGTCATCGTCCTCTTCGGGAGATGTTTGAACAATGAGTGGACCACTGACCTCCTCGGCATTCGGCGATAAGCTCACATCCTCATCTTCGCCAGCCCGAACTCCCGGACTGTCCAACTCAGCTGCGTCTGGGACCGCCGGGTGATCTGACTCCGTAGGTATGCGTATGACCGTAGTGGGCGCATTGGCCAAACTAGCGAATCGATGATAGGTTTGCATCGGTATGCCTCCGTCGCTGACCTGTGACGCTTTGCGCATCTGAATGTACTTCTTCGACCGTTCCATCGCTTCTGTGTGTTCCTTCGCGAGTATGAGATCTCGCTGCAGCGCTGGATTGTCACCGCCGACTTCTGGAGGCGGCGAGAGCTGATCCCGCACATTCTCGTTCTCCTTTTCTCCATTTGGAAGGGCTACTTCGATTGCCTTACTATGAACTCGTACTTTCGCACCATGGGCAGAAGCTTCGCTGTCGCCCTTATCCTCTATCAGATCTGGCGTTAAACTAGGCGGCCCTTCTCTGAAAGGACGGCCTGTGATGTCGGAGATTGTAGATGTGTCCAGCTGATGTGCTTTGATAATCTCGTTTATCGTATCTTTCCCGATTTGGTCACCGGCACTTAGTGGTATCACCTGGGTCATCGAGTCCCTAGAAATCGACTTTGATCTGGAGCATTGTAAGTCGCTATTCTCTGCTAGTGATGTCATTTCTTTGCTCGGGATTGCTGGTAGGGAATCGGCCGATGTGTCTGTGACATTATCAGCGACTATTTCCCTCACACAGGGCAGCATGTTTGATATACCCTCTCCCACCTCGGCATCACGAGGTGTGTCGTATTCATTCGTGCGGTTGGTATCTATCGCCGCCACCTCAACACCACTCACAGTATCTGGTATACCCCGCGATGAAGCGTTCGAACCAGTCAGAACTGCTCCCTCCCACCCTTCGACTGCAGGTTGATCTAATCCACTGTCATCGTCCTCTTCATGCACACTGACGGTAGTCATGGTTGTAGTATTTTCCTCTGGTGCAACATATTGTACGGGTACTGATGACACCGTCGCAGACACGTTTGTAGACACAACAAATGACATACGGCTGACATTGAGACTACTCACGTCGCTGTCTACATGATCTCCTTCTTGGAGCGCACTTGACTGTCGACTTGAGTCTGATACGTATGTCCCTTCTGTATGTAATCAGGCACATCAAGCTGAGCAATCAAAACAATTATCACTTTTGCTGCAACCCAGATATAAAGATGTGGCGTTAAAAAATCATTATCAGGAATATATGTATGCAATGCTACCATGAATTCCATGCTTTTGAAGATGCCACATCCTAGATAAAGATACAATGTTACAAATATTTAACAGGAATATATGTATGCAATGCTACCATGAATTCCATCCTTATAAAGATACATGCCCCAGATAAAGATGTGATGTTACAAGTATTTAACAGGAGTATATGTATGTAATACTACCACGAATCCCATGCTTTTATAGACGCCACATCGTGAATCCAAATATGTCGTCAAAGGGATTTATAGCCGGGCAGACAGTTTGTAATGAGATGCTGAGGTGCTGCTATGCCGTCTGTGACCGCGAAAGTAACGAAAAAAATAAGAAATACTGATTACTTGCGATTTCAAATATCGCTACCCGCATTCATAGGAGTAGTGTAGAACGTAGGATGCGTACAGCGCCCGTTGATCATATACTCATATGTTCATAATTTTAGCTTTTAAAACGTATTACCTGGAAGTGCAGAGCGCAGACTTTCTTCGTCTTCGTCATCAAAGTCATCGGTAGTGCCTCCTAGCTCACTCTCAGTGTGTGACTGCCCGTGGATATGCTTAGCGTGAGCGTGCCTGGCGATTTGATCCACTCTGCTTCCATAGAGTGAGGCTGCGCGGAAAAATGTGTGAAGATTAGAGCCAAATACAGAACGGAGTGCATATCAAAGGCTAATACACAGTCAGACAAAAGGGAGGTGGCAGTTAATGATATCCCGAGCAACAAACCTTCTATGAAACTGCGGCGTAGGAGTTTGTGGGCATGTGATGCGAAAGTCTGGGACCCGGACTCTCGAGCGCGGACATACAAACAAGCCAATTGAAGGCTGAGAGATTCGAACAACATTTGCATCTCCTTCTGAAGCTGGACAACAGCTGCGAAGGTAAGAACAAAGCACAGCTCAATTAACCAAAGGCAGCGGGATTCAAGATTAGCTTTCGGAATGCGGATGCTAAGCCGAGTATCAAAGAGTTATGCGTACTGCGCAGTCAAAGCAGTTGTGCTTAGGTAAAGAAAGGCTCGCACGGACTATATATACCTGATAGGAATTCGCCACACTTTAGAGGCACTGGTTTACTAGTAACAATAGTCGGAGGTACCTGAAACAGAGGAACAGTAGTAGAATGTAGTAGTAGTGAGTTGTTGCGATAGACAATTTGAGCAGTATTGAAGTACATTCTAAATAGAGTGCAATCTTTGCCATGTACGATAACGTACGATAAAAACGTCCTCAATAACACTGACAAATCTTGCTGCCACCGCGAAATGAGCGCCGGAGCCCCAAATAACAGAAATCTCAAGACTTGATACAACGTGACATAAATGTAGGTATGCTGCAGGCAAGCGTAAAAAAGGCAGACATACATACTTACCACAACTTCTAACAGCATGTCGATCTTATCGTATTGCACAACGACAGCTTGATCATTCAGTCCATAATAGCGATTGTGGTTACGATGAAAAGAATGCTTGTCTTCAACCAGCTTCATCATACCACTTTCATTTGTAATTTGAGTCACACGGCATCCTAGAGTCTTCTCGTGGAAAGACAACTCCAAGAACTTCCCAAATGACATACACCAGGTTTCCTCGGACACAGGTATACACGGGCCGTACTGTCATACAGATGCCGATTAGTTAAGCCATAAATCATACTATCTGAGTGCACCAAATTGAATCAAAGTGGTTTTCGAAGTCGATCGTACTTTAAACAGAGAATTGTTTAAAGCACGCGTGCTTAGTTTACGTAATTTACGACTACGACAAAGAGAAAAGGCTGAAATGACAGTGTATTGCAAAACTCCTCAAAATCTCTCCCAGCATACCTTCATACACTCATGACAGATCGACCACATCAGTAGTGTCTGTTCTTGTCCGCGAATAACATTACTTGGAATGTTAATGAAACTGATCCGCGCGTCTTGGTGAGAAAAGATCCGTTTGTGTTCCGATAGTGGCCGGTCGCAGGTCTCGCTTGGACACGCATGCGTATTGAAACAGTATCGGCTTAGAAATGAGCCTAAACTTTGGTCTTTGTCACCATAGTAATAAAAATCCATCTTCTTGGGCTTCAGGCACATGCGAGCTGGTTGCTCGCCATTTCCGGGGAGCTCGACGCTGTATAAGACCTACAAATAACCAGGATTACATTTAGCTATGTTACGATCGAGACAGATCACTGCTTCGAATCAGTAAAATGCATTTAGTCCAGTATTTCTCCCCGAGATGCCAAAGTCCTCCTTAGTTATTCGTGCGATTCTTGACTTTTATGTACTCCAGGATTCACTATTTTATGTACTCCAGGATTCACTATTGTCCGAGTTTAAACCGATAATCAAGATAAAAGTCTAACTTGGTGGTATTGGGGTAAACAGAAAAGACAATCTTTCGACAACACCTACCTGGATGCTCTGATGCATCGCTGGGTTGAGTGCGTCCCACGAGGCCAGTTTCCGGTTTGAGAATTGAGATTCCTGCGACTATTATCAAGTTTATCGATGAATTTGAGCGACAGTATTTATCAGCGGTTATATATGCGATGAACTCTGCAAAATCTATCACATGTGTACTAATCACTACATAAGCAGCGCAGCACAACTTCGCCTTCCGACTTCGACAAACTATATCTAAGGGTGCAGGACTATACAACAACCATGTTCTTATCCAAATTCACCAGTCGATACCACATTCGTGCGACCATACGTAAATATACCTCCCCATTGGCATCTGAAGCCGCTTGTGTTTCCATGGGCTGCCGCTCGTCATGAAGCATTGCGAAATGAATGTCCTGCCATTAAACGTAGAATGAATATCAACACCTGATTATAAGTGTCGTACTGAAGTCAACAATAAATTAACATCACAGCTTATCATATACCGAACACAGACATTAAACCATAGCTTACCTTGCCAGGGTGATATTTAGAACGACTGTCCCAGTCCGTTCTTACAGCATCGAACGGCTTTGGCAGGGGCTGTGCATTACGTAAAAAGACGAGGTTTGAGTGTAATAAATCTGAAGGGGTGCACGAGCCACAAAGAAAATTCTATTCATGCACGAATCCCAAAGTGCAAAAGATCCGAATAAGACTGCGCTTCAATTTACATTAGACAGGAGGTGCTTCTTTGGCTCTCTCTCCGCCGGATGCTGCTTTAATAGATAGGCTGTTCGCAAATCTATCGGAAGAGTTTGGTAGTTCGATGCCTGCAGTCGTCTGGTGGTGTACAGACCCGACGGGAAATAAGAGAGCATCGCTTTTCCCTGTCGTACCAAACACAAACACAAATAATCAATTAGAATAGGAGTGCCGTCAAAGTTGTATCAACAAGTGAAAGGTGCAGAAGAATCCACCCAATTCATGGATTAGAGCAAGCCGGAATCAACTCATACCTTTGAGCTATACAGATACGGAATGTCGAAGTCCACCATAGGTGAGGTTGATAGAACACTCTGATTCGCCAACGAGCAGAAGCGGTCACGATGTGATTTCTAATGTAGGAAAGGCAACTTGATCACTTAAGCTCCGAATTGGACGGAAGTGTCCCAAGCGAAGCAATACTCAATTATACATATTAAACACCAAAAACGACGCCGGCTTTTGGTAACGTGCCGCGATTAAAGGTAAAATTTGTATTGAACCAGTGTATAGAAAAGACTATTACCTTTGGGTTGTCCGTGATGTTGCAAGCTATCGTTTCCTTATCGCGTTCATCCTCGGGAATCACCGCGAAGACATCGGACAGGTAAAAAGATTCGATAAATCCACAATAGCTTACGAAGGTTATGAAAGAGAGTGCCTGTTTGACTTTCTTTAGAGTGGCTTCATCCGCCCCGCGCAGCGTTATCGTCACCCCTGGACACACATTGCAAAAGATTACATGAATTTGACATGAGCAAAGCCCGTGCAAGCGAAGAAGAAGATGCACAGGTTAGTAGGAAAGAATCCGATATTAAAAATAACACGATGGCTGGCATAGCCTGTGCGATCTAGAGCTCCCTGTCACATGCATTCGATCGCCGAATTAAGCGAAACGCATGGACGTACCTCGCCTAGGATTGCACTCGGTGAAGTACATGAGAGGTTTTCCAGCGGTCACTGTGCCTATGAAGAATCGCCCACAGGTGCCTACGATAGATGTCTTGGATACCCGCATCTCTGCCATCGATTCTTGAATTTCCGCACCGGTACAACGTTTCACGAAGTCCAGAGTGGACCGCTTCACATTCACCGCCAGAGATATATTCTCGGCCAAGAACATCTCCTGCGCCTTATACGCCACAGACCCAGAAACCAATACTACGTCCGGCCGATGGCACTTGATCAGATCTATCTGCAACTGTAAACTTTTCAGCAGCTGGTCCTTTTTGAATACGTCTTCCATCGAGGTGATGGCATGTGTTTGATCATACTCGATGGAGGAATTCAGCAGCAAAATCCTCGGATTCGTTATGTCGGTTCGCATTTTCTTGTGCACCAGATGCTGTGCGCAGACCACGCCGTGTATACACTGGCTGTCGCTCTTAGCACCGTAAGGGATTATCTTCGTTTTAATCCACTGACGAATGTCCATTGGGTCAGCAGATCCCAGGGCTGGCGTTCTTACCTGCACAACTGCTTCTTGCGCAAGGCTTTCCACCGTACTCACCCTGTTTGGAGAATTCATCATGCAGAAGCTCAGTATTGAGAACTGCCGATCTCGCATTTTCAATCAGCTAAAGTGGTGCCATGTAGAAATTGTGCGTAGGATAGAAACATTTATAGGGCTCGAAAAGTCTCTTGTGAGTGATAATAGATACTTCCCCGGCCACGTATGGTAGATTCGATGATTGTTGCATCAACAGGATGACCCGAATTACATGTTTCACTAAAAGAAAATGGTGAGAACTCTGCTCCCAGACTTACTACGTGCTTGATGCAGGAAACAGAAACGGCTCATACTGTGGCGCGTGCACAACAACCATACCATGACACGGATAAGCCCATATCGCACAGGATCTGAGAGCACATCCGCAACCGGCGCTGTCGCACAGCATCCGAGATGAATCGGATATATTGGTCCTCAGTTTTTTTCTGCTCTCTCAGTGAAATGCCTGTACTCGGCTGGACAGGTACCTGATTCGATAGTTTCGATTTGAACTCCTTGCCTCTCAACCTGGGGTTCTGTCCTAGTTTCAAGGGCTCGCCGCTCGAATTGTGCAGCAGAATGTCCGCTTCAGCGTTGCGGCTTATGGTGCGACTGTGTCGGTTTGTGTGACTCTCGACCAGGCGATCCACTGCAGACTCTGATTGTTCGTGGGCATCAGGTAGTTTGGACGTGGTAGACCCAATTACAGACTCTTCTTCTTTCTGAAGTTTCGTAAGACGGCTGATGAACGCAGAGAAAAATAATATAAAGTGTGTGAACGTGATACAAAAAGACAACATAAGCACAAGTGATACTCACGCGCAGGTGACACTCAATCCTCAAATCAATCAACGGTGTGAAGACAATACAAACCGATGGAAATCAGAACACCCGTTTGCATGGATTAGGAACCATCCAAACCACGTACGGAATTGGCTTGATGACGCTAATAGAATGTCCCCCCCCCATTGGTTTGAAGGCTGATGACTTCGACCGGCTCAGGTCCGTCGCAACACTTGTTCCTCCGAACTGCTGCTTCATATCACTCAAGACTCCCGGTTTGAATCTAGCTGTATCCAAATCACCAGATGACAATGATGACAGGCTTGCTAGGATACCTGAAAAGAAAATAGAAGTGTTCTTGTTTTTGAGGCTCAATTCGTTGCTAAGTTTTGTCTTAAATAAAATTAGTTCGCTGAGACTCAAGCTGATCATCAATTGCCTGCATATGACCACATACGCAGCCATGTTTTTAACTGGAGGCTAGCCTAGTGTTTGTTTAAGTTTGAAATATGACATCTTCGCATGGGAGAACAGGCACGGGTATTGCTGTGTTATGATGCCAGACATCAAATCACGCGTTGTAATTTTGCAGGCTCGAAGCTACGTGAAAGTTGAACAATATACTAAAATTCGATCCGTGCAAGCTGACAGAAGATATATAAGACATTTAGAATTGACGTGTGAAGAACCGCAGATGTGAAAGGCTCACCAAAGACCACCAGATAATCGTTACAATTGCGTTGGTATGGGTGTTCGTGGAGTAAAACACAAGAGCCGTAAATGATAGGTCAAAGATGCAACAAGGGTAATATCAATGCATACCAGGGTCAAGTGAGGAGGACCGTACCACGTCAACTCCGGGAAGATTGGCGAAGAAAGAATTGGATCTCTTGACTCTGTGTTTAGCCAGAGACATGTCCAGGGTATCCTTGCCCCGCTGCAGATTAGGAACTGCTGGTTGATAGTAAATCCCATCGGAAACAGATGGTTCCTTGCCGAAATTCGGCATGCATGGTCGCGGCACCAGGTTTGCAATGGAGTACCGAGTTGCAATTGGTGGCTTCGCGGTGGCTGTATCAGTGAAGCGAAAGAGAAGATAATCATCTCTGAAGCTGTTTTCGTGATCGGCAGCGGATTTAATCAGGTCGTGAGACACCATACGCTCGCCTAGCTCAATGGCCGCATCTCTGTCCGAGACGTACTCGCCCAGTAGCAGCCAGTCGATAAAGTCGGATGCGACAAAGCAATTGCTGTAAGTCTTGAGACGGAAACGACGATCGCCAAGCTTGAACTTCCCAGGGATTGCGAGCGCATGGGCAATGATATTCTTCATCATTATGACCGAGATCCCCTTCAAATCGACGCCGTCGTCCGGGATATGACTAGCATCGATGCTGTCTGCTAAAGTGCTCGCCGTCTGTTTTACTGGAGTCTGTTTTCCGCTGCCCATATCAAAATTTATAACCGTCATAGGTTCTGATTTCAGCCCTTTGACAGACCCGTCGTCTAGCAACGCTTTGTGCATCCCGGTGCTATCTTCATTGACTCCAACAGACTGGTCCGCCACCCCTGCTTTCTCCTGACACACCAATGAAGTACAAGAAAACAAGAAAATAAGAATATCGGAGCAAATCGGTTGACACGAACTGTCTAACATCAAATAGATGACAAGATGGTTTTATCGTGACAGAACCAATCCCAAGCACTGGCCAATCGGCCCAATGTGCAATGATACACCTGACATACCTTCTCATTTTCGTCGACACCACCAGAGCCCGTATCCGACTTCTGAGGCAAAGCAACACTTATACCATCTGCACTTGCACTTGCTCTGGTATTTAGTTTGGGAGATGAGATTATGATATCCAGCTCCACAGGTTTGGAGACAACATTTTTTTTTTCTTCGTTCAGAGCTTCCGCCTTCAACTTCGCCGCGCGCCTAGCACTTCCCGTGAAACTAGGGGGTATGAACAGATGGGCTGTACTGGCCACCTCTCGGTCGCTATCAAATCTCGTAGGAGGCAACACAGACTTGGATAGAAAGGTCGACGTGGGCAATTGGTCTACACTCGAAGCACTGCCTCTACCGTCATCCACCTCTGTCTCCTTGATACTCGCGGAGCTATCATTCACAATCTTTTCACAAAACACGCAGAGCCGCATCACTTCATCGATACCTACTGTACTACAATCTACTCGGCTGTGACAGCAATTCCAGCAGTATATCTGCCCGCATATGCGGCAGTGGTGTCGACGGCGAAACGTGGTGAATTGAGCTCCGCACTGATAACAGGAACGACACTGATCATCGGGGGCCCAGTAGATGCTGTGGTCACTCTCATCGTCGCGCGTTGCTAAGATGTCTCCCAGTGACAAAATACGCTGTTTCACCCAATCGCTGGTTCGCGGTTCGTTGTGGGGTAGTATTTCGGCATGTGTATGGGACTCTCTAACAGAGTTAAGAGAACGTGATTTGGAAACCTGCCGCTTGAAACTCTTTCCTGAACGTATGGAAGAGATCATGGAGATTGAGAATCAAGCCATTCAGGGCCAATGAAGCAAAAATGCTTGGAAGGACTTGCACGACTCAAAAAAACACAGCATCTTCTAAAGTACACCACCTTTTCACTGTGTGTTCATGGGCGACAGTGTAAACCGCGATCAAATTTCAGCAAGTGAGGGTGTGAGTTATATCACCCGTATAGTGAACTGCAGTAGCTTGCTTTTATCTGTGTGTGCATCAACTCGATAAAATACACCTGATGACCAATCAGGTGCGGGCACCATGCAATGAACTGAGTATACCTTCGTTTTCTTTAGGTGTATCCGGCGTTGCAGTCGACGACCTACTAGACAAGCGACTCAGGTTGCTCGACTTTTTGTGAACAAACAGATGTGCAGCATCTGCTGTAGGACTGCCGATAACATCGTGCGGCGTTCTAAAGATTGATACGATACGTATGTAGTCCATTGAAAGTGAATAGAATTAATATTAAGCTATCTGCCCAACTGATATGATCTTAGCAATATCGGTGACGGTTGTATCAGAGGTTGTCGCGCATGCCATTACCGGGCTCCAGATCATTGGAATGGGATCGATTATGTGATTCAAAATCGATGTGCAGGAGCAAGTGCATGTTCATACAAAACGAAAGAATGAGTTCTCTGGAGGAATATAGGTACCAAGCTAGTAGCCATTGCATACCAGAAAGTATACCAGAACCTATCATTGTGATTATTGATTACGGTGCGAGCAATCAGCTTCAACTATACTATTGCGTAAGTGAGTTCCAACAAACCCTGAGCGTAGAGTCAGAGTATCTGGGTATACATGTGTGACACGCACAGCTTCCTACAAGACAAATGTGGAATAACATTCATCACTACAGCAGCAGAAATCCGTTCAATCTGTCCACTATTAGGGCCGCTGCACCACTTAGCGTACATGTACGTTGTAGCCGGTGCAATCAATCTGACAACTCCAGACACAAATATTATTCCCGCTATACCCTCTGCTTAAGACAAAAAACTGTTAGGCAAACTTGATACACTCTATCAGTACGTTACACGACTACGGTCTACCAGCACAGATCAGTGTTGAACTCTGTACAAAGACGATAAAAAATATTCAGTCCTGTTCTCACGTATGTACTAATCCAAGTATCTTTCAATTGTTCGGTAATGATATGCTGAGCATATTTTCCTGACAAAGATATTTCTATGACGTAAAGAGAGTTCCAGACCAATACAAGCAAGCACGATGCTAGAAGCGGGCCTTGACACAGGTGTAGAATATTAGGAGCACAAGCGTGCGTATGTGATACCTCACAGACGTAAAGCTCTCGTGCAATATTCAAATTAACCGGTTCAAGTTGAAAGCTTCCAATAGCGTAATTCGTGCCAAAACGCAAGCTCCACCCTGATATACCTGAGACGTTGCTTGGCCTCCGCACTTTCTACATCTGCATGTCTACTCCCTTTCGAATCTCGATTGGTGTAAGCCCATACTATTTCCTACCAAGAGCACAATCAAAAATCAGTGCCACCCCGTACACTTCCAATTCTGCCCTACACTTCCAATTCTATAACAAAATCTGATAGTGGCCAAAACTCATACTAAGATTCAGACAGCGCATGCGTAATAAATATACCAACACTCAGTTACCTGGATATGTTCGGTGTCATCCAGCCACTGAACATGCGAGAGAGGGTAGACCGAGGTGTATGTTCCTCCCTTTCCCCAGTGGGGGGATTTCCAAACGTAACCAATCCCAGGGACTGCTGTCTACCATATTGCCTAGTACTCATATTGCCGTTGGATTTCAGGGTAAAGCTAGCAAATTATGCTTCCCTTTGATCACAAAGCACACTGAGATTCGCGTCGTGTCTCTAGAGTTTAATTGAACTTCGTGCTGAACATGACCAATCACAACTTGCTTTATGCCGCCTCTTAAGAAGCCGTATGACGCCTTAAATGAACACTACATAGGGTGCAAACTGCAAAGGATAATAGTAAATTAATAATAGTACATTGTTGGTGTGTCGTAGTCTACTGTAGATGTTATTCTAAATGGTTGATCGACCAGATCTACTTATACGATAGCTTTGTGGTCATCAATTTTGCCTGTGATTCATAACCCTACCTCAGGGTTTTTAGACCCGCAGTGCCCCCCCGGCCGGGGCTGCGGCCTACGGGGCATGTGAACCCCCACGGGAACTTGAAGCACAGTATTTTCTACAACACTATCACATCATAATTATCACATACTAATTCCATGCTGTTGTCTGGGATCCTGCGTAATTGTAAGCGAGCCGGGCTGCCTTCACATCCCTCTCGTATCGCACCTACATATACAAGAGATCCATCGTTCTTGGATCACATTTCTACCTTTAAACTGGTAACGACCAGAATTCCAGCAAGGTTTATATCGCAAAGTATATCATCTAGCATGAATGATGCAGAGTCAAAGCCAGAGGCGATTGTGCCCACCAACACAATGAACAATGATAGTATCACGGATACACCCACGCCGCCAGAAGGTTTCACAGTTATAGTCGAGGGGAAAGCGAATGGTCTATTCCCTGCTGATAGCTCTGTCTTTTACAATCCCGTACAAGAGTTCAACCGCGATCTGAGCATAGCCACTATCCGTATGTTCGAAGAGACTCTGTACGCAGAACAGAAGGCTGAGTTGCTAAAGAAGATCGCTCGAGTTGAAGCCAAAAATATTAAGTGGAGGGATCCCACGGAACCGGCTCGTGGTATTCGGATACTCGAAGGATTGTCTGCCACTGGTTTGCGGTCCATGCGCTTCGCGAAGGAGGTATGTTGATGTTTAGTTGTGTACAAGTATGCGGACTAAATGTGTATTCCCATGAGATTATAATCCTGTCACTCTTCATTTAAATCGAACACTTGTCAAAGTCGCTGACGAGTCTTGCATGTGTTGTATTCAATAAGCGGTAAGATCGTGTTCGATACTTATTGGTCTTAGATGCCGTCTAGTCCTAGAACCATCCTGTCCTATTTGGTTTATTGTCGTTTTTCTATAGAAAGACTTGTTCTATTTGCGTCTGATGTCCTTGATGAATAATACCAATTGTAGATCAACAGTCTAGGCAATATTTTTCCTTGTCGCTGAATATCTACATTCTTATCGCTGAGTATCCGCTTTCCTACTGTAGATTCCCAACGTCAAAACAATCGTGGCGAATGATTTTTCTGCGGAGGCAGTGAAGACTATCGCTAAGAATTGCGAATTCAACGGAATTCCAGAGGGACTAGTGCAGCCTAATCACGGTATTGCGCAATGGTCTGAAGTTCTATACAGTTCCACTTTAGTCGTGTTGTACCAACTTGTACACGTGATTACTAGTGGCTCACATGCTTTCTGTTACCAAGGGATTTATTTGGGCTTGAATTCATTTCTAATATCTATCGACGAAGCTAACACTGAAGATAGCTGTAGTTACAATGCGTAAAATCACCACATCCAGATAAATTCTGCAATCTTTATGTGACGTGCTGAAGCATATTCTTAGTATTTAAATCCTCTAATCTCACTCTCGCTTCACAGATGATTGCGCTATGGTGTGTTACAAAAATCGTAATAGCAAAGATCAGTTCCATGTCATCGACTTGGATCCCTATGGGTCACCCACCACGTTTCTAGATGGCGCCATTCAGGCTGTTGCCGAAGGAGGTGAGTATTTATTTCAGTATCAATGTTGTTGCAAATCAATCCATAACAAGTGTTGAACACGTGCAAAGCTCTTTTTCGCTTACCCTAAGAGATCAAAAATAAATTGTACTCTGACCGTGGGCGTGTATTTCTTCTCTCTGATCAGGTCTACTGTGTGTGACTGCGACAGACATGGCTGTGTTGGCTGGTAATCACTCGGAAGCTGGGTACGCGAAGTACGGCTCTATGCCGATAAAGGCTCCGTACTGCCACGAAATGGTATACAAGACGCCTTTTTCTGTATTGCTGTTGTACCACAACGATGGTCACCCGATTTCGGGCCAGGCATCATCAGGCAACATTCTAATTTTCATGATCGGCTATTGCGAGTATCCGAAACGTGAGTTCCACCTCTACCTCATTACCTTATCTGTTCTCTAAACAGGCCCTGCGCATTCTGCTACAATGTATCAATACGCAAGCTGCGCGTTACAAGCGCTACATCGTGCCGATGGTTTCGTTAAGCATAGACTTCTACCTCCGCGTCTTCGTCAGGGTATACACGTCACCTCTGGAGGTTAAGAAATCTGCAAGGTAATACACACGCGATCCGTGTCTTCCGTTGCACGCACATTTGGTAAGCTGTAAATGCTACCAATTATATGCTATGATTGTGCTCTGATACTGACATGTCTTCTTGGCCTTTGCTTTGACTTTTTCCTGCAGCAAGGGATCCTTAGTGTATCACTGCCAGGGATGCAACTCATTCTATCTCCAGCAAGTAGGCAAGTACCACATGTCCGAGAAAGGCCCTAAATTCGCAGCTGGCACTGGTCCCATTATCGACCGAAGGTGTGAGAACTGTGGCTTTTCGTTTAAAACTGGCGGACCGGCATGGAATGGCGCCATTCACAACAAAGCATTCGTCAACAAGATAATAGATCATGCGAAAGCGAACAAATCTAATTATGGAACATTCGATCGGATATTGGGAATGCTCACGGTAGCACAAGAGGAAATCGAAACACCTTTCTACTATGATGTCGGAGAGTGCGCGTCAGCTTGTCGGTCGTCCGGGTTTAAGAGAGAGAAAATTTGGTCTGCAATTCTCAACGGTGGATTTGGCGTGTCAAGCACACACTGCAAAGATACTGGTTTCAAAACAGACGCGCCGCCAGAGTTTATCTGGGCCATCTATAGGAAATGGGCGACCTTGCCAGAGTCTGGATCTGAGTCGCAGCAGATAAAGGAGGGGTCGCCAGCGTTCAAGTTGCGACAGATGCCTACAAGTCTTACGCGTTTGCAACTCGAGCAAGTGATAAAGGAAGCTACTAGTGAGGGTAAAAATAGGGACGACATTATGATCGAATTCGACGAACCTAAAGAATTTTATGATATTAGCTTCAAGAGGCATGAGGGAGCATTCCCGCCATCCATAGGTCTGAAGCTCAAACGATTCCCTATGAACCCCACCGCTAACTGGGGGCCGAAGCCGCGTGCCAAAAAAAGGTAGCAATATCTACGCCTGCATGTCAAATTTTCCATAGTTGGTAGATATTTATTTATTTTAGTTAACGTTTGACACTGCATTTGCTTCATAATATGATCATTGACCAGAGCGTTGAGGCCCTGTGTGCTTCTGATTACCATGTATGCGCTGTACCTATTGATACTTTAAGTTGAGGTCCATCTTCGATTTACTTTGTAGTTATGGCAGTTTATAGCTTCCCTTATATCCTTTTCTTTCTTTGATTACAGCCAAGGTGGCCGAGAAACTACCAAGCAGGCGAAATTAGGAGACGGTGAAGAAAAATAAACTCAGTAGCATGCTTACAAGACTGATTGGTGGGCAACTCTACACCACAATTACAAAGAAACCTACTGAACACGGCCAGCTGCTCTAAGTATTTATTTTATTTGGCATCCATGTATTTCACATGTATATACATACCCGTATCAAACACACGTGAGTGAAGTAGTCACCAAGTTTAATTATGATTAGATATATGAACTTGGGCAATTTTGAGTATGCATACAATACAATAATAATGTGACATCAATAATATATATATATATAGATGCCTGTGTCTGTGTCTGTGTGTGCGCGTGTGTCTGTCTAACTCTTTCTATATCTATCTATTCATCTGTCTATCTATCTATCTATCCATACATACATCCATCTATCCATCCGTCCCTTCATCCATCCATCTATCATCTATATTTATCTATACATACATACATACAAAATAAATACATACATACAAAATAAATACATACATACATACATAAATTAAGAAAATACTTACATACAGAATATGTATATATGTATATATGTGTGTGTGTGTGTGTGCATGTATATATATATTTATATATATATGTGTGTGTGTGTGTATGTAGATATGTGTTTAATTATATTTATATATATATATATATTATGTGTATGTGTGTAAGTACACTTATATTTGTATGTATATATATTATTATTATTATTATTATTATATTTAGTATTATTATATATAGTGTATGTGTGTGGTGTGCGTTTCTCTGTATATATATATATATATAATTTATTAAATTATATTTATGTATATATTTATATATATATATACATTATGTGAGTGTATGTTTATAGATATATATATCTATATATATATAGTGTATGTGGATGTTTATGTATGTAGTGTATATTTGTATTTAGTATTTATTCGTGTTTGTGTATTTACAAGTTCATAATGCATACGTACATATAGTGTCTACGGTTTTTCTATTGTGTTTGTGTGTATGTGTACACGTGTATGTGTGTGTGTTTGTACACGTGTGTTTGTGTGTCTGTGTTGACACGTGTTATTGTATGTGTGTGTATGTTTGTGTGAATGTGTTTGTGTACGTGTGTTTGTAGGTATGTGTGTGTGTGTATCTGCGTCTACGTCTGAAATTTTGTCTGTGTGTATAGTGCGTGTGTTGAATACACACGCTTATACAAGTCATCTATATAAATATATATATGTGTGTGTGTGTGTGTGTTTGTGTGTGTGTGTGTGTATCTATATATATATCTATATATATATCTATACATATATATATATATATATATGTATATATTGTGTGTGTGTGCGTATGTATTTTCTATGTGTGTATGTATATATGTGTGTGCGTGTGTATATATATATATATATATATATATATATATAATACTATATATATATATGTGTGTGTATATACACTATATATATATGTGTGTGTGTGTGTAGTATACTATATATATATATATATGTGTGTGTGTGTGTTTGTGTGTGTGTGTGTATGTATATATATATGTGTGTGTGTACATATATAGGTGTCTGTCTCTCTCTCTCTCTCTCTGTCTCTATCTCTGTCTCTGTGTATTCGTGCAATCATGTGGATCAATAGTTACAAACGCGCATTCCCTCTATAGCATTATATTTATCTCAGTCTCTATAATATCAATATGAATTCATTTGTTTTTAAGTATATATTATTATATATTGACACCGCGCATTTTTGGTGTCTTGGGTTTTGTGGGTAACAAACCCGTCAGCCACAGGACGTTGATCCTTTCACGTGATAACAGATTTTCAGCTTTTTCATACGTGTCAAAATGTCCATTTTTGATTTTTGAAGGCTACGATCAAAACAACAATTCAAAATCTGCGGCATTCTTGATACGATCAATAAGACGAGGTTCCAAGCAATGTTCGTTCATATTTAATATTAATGTATGAAGATACTGTAGTTATGCTTGATAGTCGTCGAGCAGAGATCTCTACTTATTCCCCGTCATCAGCCACTAGCGCTATTCTTAGATCAGACAGTCCTTATCGCTCGAGAAATGGCAGCTCGATGTCACAAACGGCAATCTCAGTCACGTCAGGCCGTTGCGTGCTACTTGAAGTGGGGAGCAGTAGGATCGAAACAACGGCGAAAAAGGCTCTTCACACCGCCGACTGGGTAGTCAATCACGCAAAATTAACGTTGAAGCAAAAAGAACATGAAAGCGTTGAAGATCCTGAAGTGAAGGTTTCTCATCGGAGGTACGTGCGCAAGCAGTCTCGTCCAAAGAAAAGTGAACCGCAACTCGGCGGCACGCCCGGCGTTGTGTTTACCATGAATCTGCCAAAAAGCAGCACAGTTACTGTTTGTACAGATGCTGAGGACACTTGTATATTAGAAGCTGGATTGATGTGCCATCAGTGTGTAGCGGTAGTGAGGGATGAGTGCGCACAAGCCACGAGGCCGCGGAACAGGAACAGATATGACAGCGAAAGCACCAGCTCGCTCCGAGCTCTAGAAAGCAATGGATCTATGACAATATGGGGTGCGTTAGAAGAAATCAACTCAAAGCAATACATTTGTGGTATCAGAAGAGGGACGAGAGATCGTAAATTAACAGAGAAGGACGACATCTTCGAATCACCAAAGAAATGTAAAAGATACAAGTCGCTTATTGGTCGCCAAAGTGGCGGCTCATCAATCATTGGCGACGGAACCACGAGTACTGTCCGTAAGCAGTGCGCTTCGTGCTCGACTTCCAATACGCCCATGTGGCGTGATTCGCCCGACGGCGTCCCATACTGCAATGCATGCGGTATCCGATACAAAAAATATGGAGTACGCTGTGGATCTTGCAAGTACATTCCGCGCAAGGAAGAGAAATCCCTCCATTCATGCCCGAGGACAGGGTGCAATGATCATTTAAGAACGTTATCTAAAGCGACGTTATATGAAGCGAAGTGATCTACTAAAATGATGACATTTACGCGAGCAGACGGTCTGCGTTTTCAGACCCTGATACTCGATAGAAAACAAAAGTTTGATTCAATTTTACATAGTGTAAGTGCTTCTAAAATTGTATCTCTCTGGTTGATACTGAAGAAAAAAGGCCTCGTCTGAAATCGCATTTCTGGTTCATACTGGGGTGTACGCTAAGCTACGATGTCTGGCTCAGACATCTACCACCGCCAGTTTTATATTATGTTTTAGAATGAGCTGCATTTCTATTAACCGGCAGCTCTTTACAATACTACCAAGTCGACTTGTATTTCATTAAACTATATCACATTCGCTGCCCGTAGTGACTGATCCAGATCTTCGATAAGATCTCGTACATCTTCAATACCTACACACAGACGAATCACGTCCTCGGCTAAATTTCTTTCTTTCCGTACCTCAGGAGGTATGCTCGCATGGGACATACGGCATGGCATACTGCAATTTCAAATCAAAAAAAATCAAAACGCGATATAAGCTGATTGAAAAAAGAATTTTAAAAAGGCAGAACAACCGGGTACCACATAGAACTCGACAAAGGTCTTCATATTACAATTTTTTTTTTCACATACCTGATCAATGAATTTACGCAGCCAAAACTCACGGAGATAGTGAAAAGCTTGCAACCCTCTACAATTTGTTGGGACACCATGGTAGAGCCCGTTTCGAAGCTCAGCACAGCGCCGCCGCCACAGGCTTGCTTGTTGTGTAGCTCGTAACTCGGGTGACTTTTGAGTCCGGGATAATTTACCTTCAAGCCAGTCGACTCTAAATAGTTTGCAATTTTCATTGCCGATGCTTGCTGTTTCTCTAAGCGAACAGCCAGTGTTTTCACACCACGCATCAGCAGCCATGACTCGAAAGGAGCGAGGCCAACACCCGTAGAATTAATAACAAAGTACAGCTGATCGCCAAGGGCTTCTTTCTTTACGCCAATAACGCCAGCCATTAGATCATGATGTCCACTCAAATACTTTGTCCCAGAGTGATACACGATATCAGCGCCAAGCTCAAGAGGACGTTGTAGAATAGGTGTCATCATCGTGTTGTCCACAACCACAATTATCTCCTATACAGATGAAAGTAATCCCCAAAAACAAACAACATTAAAACTCGAAAAGTACCAAACAAGTCCTATAAATATCCTGGAAATGTATACTATATGATACATGGCATTAGCAGTATACATGGCACTAGTAATTGCCATAAGAAGAAACAGAGCGACTGCAAAAAGACTCATGATTTGACCTACCTCATTTCGTGCATGGGCAATCTCGGCGATTGCTTTTATGTCACAAACACCAATTAAGGGATTTGTGGGTGTCTCCAGTAGAATCATTTTGGTTTGGCTTGTGATCGCGGACGTTACGTTTTCAACCAAGCAGGTGTCTACATGAACGGTATTGATCTTGGATTTTTCCAAAAACTTAAGCAGTCTATTTGTGCCTAAGAATACCGGGAGTATAAAATAATTGTCTTGAAGAAAACAAACGACGATAAGAAGCGGGCGCTACCAGAAGCAAAACAAATAAGACAACAAGGGTTGAAGAAAAAATACTCTCTATCACGTATATAAACACTAACCTCCATATAGATCTACACCGGCGATCACCTCGTCCCCTGCGCTTAAAACGCGCATAATAACATCCAGCGCAGTCATCCCGCTAGTGACGCAGAGTGCACGCTGTGCATCCATAAGCTTAGCTAAGTGCCTTTCTGTTTGAGTGCGCGTAGGGTTACCGCTCCGTGTGTAATCATATTCTCCAGTAGATACAGCCGAGGACTGTTTGAAAGTAGCAGTCTGATAGATAGGAGTAGAGGCTGGATTGTATGGATCTGCAGGATTGGCATCGACACTAACAACACGAGTTGCTGGCCGATATTGCTGTGCGCTTTTCTGAGATTCGCGGTCCATGTTTAATTTTGACGTTGTGAACCGATAGATCTTGAGTGGTACTGTAGAATACCGCTGTGCTAGTGCAGAAATGTTGTTACACTACGAAGAATATATACTCTCACAAGTGAATACCAAAATACGATTTATGGTAAATCGAATGATCAAATGATATATTTTGATATGTATGATAATTGATTTAAAAATTGTCTCACAGGAGCCTCAGGAGGTCAGTCAGGGCCTCAGGCCCGTCAGTCTCAGGGCCTCAGCTCACAGCTGGTCTATGTCTATTTGATATACATAATTCAGAAAGTTATTCCGACTTCTATTCGTTTACATTTTTAGATATTATTGTGGAATGAGTCAGTCAGGCTGCCAGGCTGTCGGAGTCGGAACTCGGAACCCCAGGCTGTCTCCTGTCGTGCTTTGTTCAGCATAGGTCTTTTACAATAATCAAAAAAACAAATATGACTATATTTATTGAATATGTACATACTCAGCCCAATTTTATTTAATTTTAATTAAAAAACAAACCAAAGTTCCAAAATATGTATTTTTTATTTTAAAAATATTTTATGTATAAATATGTACAGTACATGAATGAATACATATTTTATAATAAAAATATGTATTTACATACTGACCGTCAACTGACGAAACATTTTTTTTTTATGTTTTTTTTAAAAGCATTTAAAAAAACAAACCGAACACAAAAACAAAAGACACAAGAGTCAAGGAGAGACCCCACTCACCCCACTCCACCCCCAGGGCCCAGAGGCCAGAGGGCCCAGACCCAGAAGCGTACCGAACTACTCCCGGGTAAACTTTTGAGCTCCCACGGAGTACCGAACTACTCTGGGCCAGACTAAGTCACCTAACAAATGAACCAGATGCGAGTTGTGACACATAGACAGGTAAAGTATGAACACTTGTGGATACTAAAAAATGCGCAATAGTTGGCACTTGGCAATCTCTAGTCTCTACAGCCACTATATAAGTCACGCCCTATGGTGCGTGGTTCCTGCTTTCGGACCAAGTCCTAGGAGTGTAAACTTCGATGGAAATTACTAGGTTTCAAACTATATTAAACTAAAATACAATTTAGTCAGTT